ATTTATTTATTTATTTATTTATTTATTTATTTATTTATTTATCTTTGAGAGAGAGAGAGAGAGCACAGAGGAGAGAGGCAGAGAGAGAGAATCTTAAGCAGGCTTCATGCTCAGCATGGAGCCAAATGTGGGGCTCAATCCCACAACCCTGGGATCGTGACGTGAGCTGAAATCAAGAGTCAGATGCTCAACCAATTGAGCCACCCAGGCATCCCTCTACCTTCTTTCAAACATAATACGTAGCACACAATATTAAATTATGAGACATGCAAAAAAAGAAGAAAATGTGACCCATAATCAGGAGGATAAAAAACGGCCAATAGAAATAGGTCCACAGGGGACCAAAGTATTAAAATTAACTGACAAATTGGGGCACCTGGGTGGCTCAGTCGGTTGAGCGTCCGACTTCGGCTCAAGTCATGATCTCACTGTTCATGGGTTCGAGCCCCGTGCCGGGCTCTGTGCTGACAGCTCGGAGCCTGGAACCTGCTTCAGATTCTGTGTCTCCCTCTCTCTCTGTCCCTCCTCTGCTCATGCTCTATCTCCTCTCTCTCTCAAAAACAAATAAACATTCAAAAGAAAAAATGTTTTAAAAAAATAAAAATAAAAGTAGCTGACCAAGACTTTTAAGTAATGATTATAAATATGCTGAAGAATTTAGAAGAAAATATGGACTAAGCAGGTATACAGATGGTGAATTTCAGCACAGAAATGGAAACTTAAAAAAGAACCTAGTGGAATTTCTAGAACTGAAAAAAAAAGTATCTCAAATAAAGACTGTATTACATGGGTTTCATAGCATCGTGGGGGCAACAGAAGAATTAGTGGAGTCAAAGTCAGAGCAGTAGAGACTCTCCAAATGGAAAAGAAGAATGCGATGGTGCTTTAGCCCCTTTGGGGTGATACCCTGACTGACCTCCCCACCCCAGGGCCTCACCTTATGCCACAGGGCCCGGAGACAGCTTCTCCGCAGGGTCGTATGCTGCCATGCCAGGTACTCATCCACACGGGCACAGGCCTGTAGATCCTGGGGGTACCAATGGTCAGCGACTTTATACTTGCGGGTCAGGTAGAGCAGGATGGCCACACTGCAGGGGAGGAAGGACACTGTGCGAGGGGCTTTATACAGAGTCCCTTCTTTAATCTTCCTGACAATGTGCCAAGGCATTTGCCTTATTCTTCAGACAAGGAAGCCATGCTTAGAATAGTGAAGGGACTTGCCCAGGCACAGTTTCAGAAGAGCTGAGAGTCTATCTGAGGCTCATCCTACCACCGGGCAAAAGCCCACAGCAGAATATCCTGCCAAGTGTTCGGAGACAGTTTCTGACCAGAGAGCTTCCCGGAGGAGATACCATCAAAGCTGAGCCTTAAAGAAGCTTAGTTCTTCTTAGCCTGCATCCATTCTCATCATCTGGCATCCAGCCTAGCCTCAGACAGCCTGATTGCTTAAAAAGGCTTTCTTATTGTCTCTGTTCTCCCTAAAGCATCCTGTAGGAAACACTGGGGGTGCCGCAGGATCATGGAACAGAACAGACAGGCCTCTGGAGCTTCCTCCTGCCCTGGGTTATGAAGGTGTTGTGACAGGGGTGGACCTAGAGGGCCCCTGAGTATGCATGAATTGTCTCTAAAATAAAGGGGTAGGCCAAGATGGTTCCAGTGAGGTCTGGTAGCAGTTACCTCTCAGCCAAGGTGAAGTCCCCATCTTTCAAGGCAGGCACCTTCTTCAGGGGGTTCACCTGGGCAAAGGCATCGCTGAGGTGTTGGCCTGCAGAGAGCCCATCGTGTTGGGGGAGGGAGTTACCACTGAGGCCTGCATGGCCTGTGCCCACTCCCTCCTATGCCCAGGCCCCAAATTCATGACTTTTCTCCAGCCCCCAGCTGTTCTCCTGCATGGCCTAGGCTGGTGAGGGCCACTTTGGAAGAAACAAGAGACTACTCTGCCAAATGTTGCAAAATGAACCTAGTCAGCCCATGCCAAGTCCCTTTGTGCACAGCCCAAGGTGCAGGATATGATGCTTCAGTTGGGCCTTCGTACGCACCCCACCCATCACCTTTGCACCAACCCCAGCCTCATAAGTTCATATTCAGGGTGCCCCAAGCTTTCAGAGCAGGGTGGCTGGTCACCCTAATGGAGCTCTGACTTCGTACAGTGCCCCTTTCCCTGTGGACTCTAAGGTAAGGTCACCAAATACAGAGAAGTGGCCTCTTCCTGGTATCTGTTTACCTGCAAAGAACTTCTACCAGCTCTTCTGTGTCCCCTTATTCACCCTGTCCTGGCCATTAGGGACGCAGGGGCTGGCCCTACCTTTAGGCTCTGCTGGAGCTGGGACAGTCACATTTTTGTCCCCAAAAGGTGCAGCCTAGTGTCCCCGGGGACACAGGCCTCTGCTTGAGCGCATCTGGGTGGTTCCTACTCCTTCAGATGCAGCCAGAGAGAAGCTTCTGAACAGCACTTAAGCTCATTGCCATCCTGCTCAACAGTCTTCAGTGGCTCCCTATTACCCCAGGATCAGGTGGAAGTTCCTCAAAGCCGGATATGATTGCCTTCACCCTCTAGCCTCAAACACACCCACCATCCTCCCACTTCCCTCCCTGAGACTGCTCCTTCTTCACCAGACACACCTGCCCTCCTCTCCTAGTGAAACACACTGCTCTCTGCACCCTTTATTTAACAGCCTGGCTGGGATGTTCTCTTGTCCCTATGCCTTCTCCCCTATACTCTGCAGAGGTAACCCCTGGGCAGGACAAGTGGAAAATGCCCTGGAGGGGGGAGAAGAGGATGATTCAGGCAGAGGGACAGGCCAGTGCAAAGGCACAAAAGCAGGCAAGGGCCCCACACTCGTGGGGAAGCGATGAAGGGAAAGACTCAGCCAAGGAGAGTTACCCTACTTGCCCACCCAGGAATACCTGGGTCCTGCCTCCCTCTTACCCCCCAAGTTCCAACTGTGTCCTTGGAGCCTCGGGAGACTGCCAGAGAAACAAATCCTCTTGTTGAGAATGCAGGGATCACCAAGCCCAGCAGCCTTCCCGGCAGTCTCCCCTCAGGCTCCCAGCACATCCCCAGGGGGACCCCCACCCAGCAGGAACAAGAGAGGCAGAGGACAAGGTAAAGCAGGAGAAGGCAAAGCAGAAGAAGGAGGAAGGGACAGAGGGGGACCCCCAGTGCAGCCTGGACCAATGCATAGAGCAGGGCTGGAAAGTGAGACCCTGGGACAGTGACCGTTGTTGCAGAATTTCAGCAGTTGGGGGCCACCAAGGAGGGACTCGGCTCCGCCCCGGTCTCTGTGCTCAGCCCTCCTCCTGCCCCCATCTCTGTTCTGGAGGTCCTCTATCCCTATGTCCAGGTGTACCCTTTCTTTTTGCTCACGAGGTCTCTCTTTTTCAAGTTCTCCACCCCTCTACTCCACCCCTCTACTCCACCCCTCTACCCCGAGTAGAGGGTCGCCTACTCGGTGGGACGGAGCACTGTTTAGGGGATGAATCTCGGATCTCCCTGGCGGCTCACCTTTTCCGGCGATGGCCCCGAGAAGGAGTTGGCGCCGGAGGTCCTTTTAAGCAATATTTGGCCTCCCCGTTCCTCCCCGATCTCTCGATTCCCAAACCCGAGCCTCGGCCCACCTTTGAGCAGCTCCACTGTGCGCATCTCGAAAGGAATGCGGTTCTTCTTGGCAAAGATGTAGATGGCGCGGCAGGGCTGGGACAGCAGGTCCAAGTAAAGCTCCAGGCCCATGGCGGGGCGGAAAGACCCGACTCGTGACCCGAGGGACTCTGCAAACCCCAAGCTGCCGGGGAACTCACACACAGTCCTCGCGGCCACGCCCCACCGGCCACCACTCCCCATTGGGCAGCTCCGGGCACCCCGGCGCTTTGGTCCAATGGCTGAGCGGCCATGGGCCTGTCTGATAGGTTGGTTAGAGCAGCGCACCGCCCAGCAGGCCAGGTGGTGGCGCGATGGTCATCCCTCGGAGGGTCCTTTGTGACTATCTTATTTCACTTACCATTGTGTCTTCAAGGTTCTTCCGTGCTATTTGTGTCAGAATTTCCTATCGTTCCCATTTTAGAGATGTCGAAATGGAGGCAGAGAGTGATTAAGGACCCAGAAGGTCCGGCTCCAGAGATCTTAGCCCCACACCCCAGAGATCCTGATACTAGCCAATGGCACAGCCTCAGGGCTTATGTCCAGCATTTTGTGGTAACTCACTCTGCTCAGATGGTACTCTCTGTACTTGGGTCTTCCTGCTCCTGCCGGCACAGTGCCTCACATTCCCTGAATTTGTTTCTTCCCTCATTCAAATCATGGGGAGAGATCCAGCAATCCTATTTCTGGGCATATATTCAAATGAAATGGAAACAGGATATGAAAGAAATATTTGCGCGCCCACGTTGATGGCAGCATTATTCACAACAGCCAAGATGTGGAAACAACTATTCGAGGGATGAATGGATACAGAGCATGAGTACAGACACAATGAAATACTATTCAGCCGCGAGGAAGAAGGAAATCCTGCCATTTGTGACAATCTGAATGAACCTTGAGGGCATTGTGCTGAGCGAGGTAAGTCAGACAGAGAAAGAAAGACAAATATGGTATCACCACACTTCTGTGAAAAATCTAAAAGAAGCCAAACTCACGGACACTAAGTAGAATAGTGGTTACCAGGGCCTGTGGGTGGGAAAACTGGAAAGATATGTAAGGGTACATACTTGCAACTAGGAGAGAAATAAGTTGTGGAGATCTATCACAACATAATTACTATTAGTCAACAACATTAGTTGTCAACAATATAGTCAACAACTGTATTACAATTTCAAAGTTGCTGAGAAACTAGATCTTAATTGTTCTCCCCACAAAAAAGAAATAATTAGGTGACATAATAGAGGTGTTAGTTCATATATAATATGTAATATATATATGCATATATATATGCAGTATATAAATGTATCAAATCACCATGTTGCACACCTTAAACTTCCACAGTGCTATAGGTCAATTATATCTCAGTAAGAGATAGGTAGGTAGGTAGGTAGGTAGAGAAAATGGTGGGGAGGCTAGAGCCCTCCAGGGCCCTTGCAAGTTGCCACCCCTAGACACACCTCTGAGTCTTGATCATAGGCCTATTCCTTGCTACCCAGGAATCCCCCTAGAGCCTGCCACCTGGCTGGTCAGATGGTGTCTGTGTCATCTTTTAAAACAAGTCCAACTGAAAAATGCACCTGCAGGAACACGAGGTTTTCTACATAGTAAGGAAGATTTCTGCAAAGAAAGGAAATGTTGGTAATAATGATCTTTAACAGAGAAAAAAGTTTTTTTAATTTTTTTATTTTATTTCATTTTATTTTTTTTAGAGAGAGCACATTCAAGTGGGGGGAGAGCAGCAGAGGGAGAGAGAGAGAGAGAGAGAGAGAGAGAGAGAATCTTAAGCAGGCTCCACACTCCGCGCGGAGCGACATGGGGCTCAATCCATGACCCTGGGATCATGACCTGAGCCGAAATCAAGAGTTAGACGCTCAACTGACTGAGCCACCCAGGCGCCCCTCACTGGAAAAAAAAAAAAAAAAAAAAAAAAAATTAAGGAAGGATGAGAACTTCAGATTTCAGTGGTGAAGTTTGAAAAAGTAGCTAGACACTCAGATGAGGCAACAGTTAGTTACCCAATGCCCACTTTCCACTGACCCCAGTCAGCACCCCCAGAGGAGCTGGGCAGGATCCTGTCTAGGGCTCAGCCTCAATCTTGAAGGTTCAAAACCTACTTTGGTCCATATTCAGGATTAATCCTTTTCTTTGGGTCTGACTCACGTAACCTATCTCACAAGAGACTGATGGATTTATGATTCTATAGAAAAAGAGACAAAGGCTATTTATTTATTTGTGTTTTATTTATTTTTGAGAGAGAGAGAGAGAGAGAGAGAACGAGCCAGGGAGGGGCAGAGAGAGACACAGAATCTGAAGCAGGCTCCGGGCTCCCAGCTGTCAGCACAGAGCCTGATGCGGGGCTCGAACTCATGAACTCCACCATTAAGTATGATGTTAGCTATGAGTTTTTCATAGACGCCCTTTATCAGGCTGAGGGAATTCCCTTCCGTTATTTGTTGGGTTATTTGATCCTGAAAGGGTGTTGGATTTCATCAAATGCTTTTTTCTGCATCTATCAAGATAATCATGTGGTAATCATGTGATTTTTTTCTTTATTTTGTTAGTATGATGTGTCATAATGACTGATTTTCACATTTTTTTTGTTTTGTTTTATTTTTAAGTAGGCTTCATGCCCAGCACGAAGCCCAATGCAGGGCTTGAACTCGAGACCCTGAGATTAAGACCTGAGCTGAGATCAAGAGTCAGATGCTTAACCAAGTCACCCAGGTGCCCTGATTGATTCTCATATATTGAATCATCTTTGCATTCCTGCTCATGATATACAATCCTTTTAATATGCTGTGGATATGATTTGCTGGTATTTTGTTGAGAATTTTAATGCCTACATTTATAAGGAATATTGCGACATAGTTTTTTATTTTCTCATGTTCTTTTTCCTGTTTGGATCTCGGGGTCATCCTGGCTTCATAGTGTAGTAGCACTCCACCCAGTCTTAAGGGTTCACTTGCTTCAAGCTTACGCACTCCTTGTCTGCTGACTTAAATCCCTTGATCTGTAGCAGAACTTATTTCCTTGAGATTTGAACGCCACTGGCCTTGAGGAGTGAAGGACCAAACTTACCCAAAAGATAAGGATTGACTACATCCCAAAATAGCTGCCAGTGATGCCAGCAAGTCTGTTCAGGGTCACGTCCACATAGCACTAGCCGCCTGGGCACCTACATCTCCCCCAGTAACCCCACTCCCTTTTCCTGTGCCTTCCCAATTAAAACCCTCTGGCTTCACCTGGACGAGGAAGATGATCTTAGCAACATTTATCCACCATCTTCTCAGGTTTCCAGCTTCCTGAATAAAGCAAACTTTCCTTTCCCCCCCATCATTTGTCTCTCAAGTATTGATTTTCAAGCCTCAAGCAACAAACTATGAATTTGGAACTGGTTCTCTGATAACAATGGAATCAAGTGGGAAATGTTTCCTCCTCTTCTATTTTCTGAAAGAGTTTGTAAAGGCTTAGTGTTAATTCTTTTTATGCCATTAAGATTTTATTTTATTTTATTTTTTTAAGTTTCTTTATTTACACTGAGAGAGAGAGAGAGAGAGAGAACAAACTGGAGAGGGGCAGAGAGATGGAGAGAGATTAAATCCCACATAGGCTCCACACTGCCAGTGCAGAGCCCAGTGGGGGTCTTGAACTCACAAACCGTGAGATCATGACCTGAGCTGAAATCTCAAGTTCGAAGCTTAACCGACTGAGTCACCCAGGCGCCCCTAAGATTTTTTTTTTTTTTTTTAAATTTTTTTTCAACATTTATTTATTTTTGGGACAGAGAGAGACAGAGCATGAACGGGGGAGGGGCAGAGAGAGAGGGAGACACAGAATCAGAAACAGGCTCCAGGCTCTGAGCCATCAGCCCAGAGCCTGACGCGGGGCTCGAACTCACGGACCGCGAGATCGTGACCTGGCTGAAGTCGGACGCTTAACCGACTGCGCCACCCAGGCGCCCCAAGATTTTATTTTTAAACAGTCTCTACACCCAACATGGGGCCAGATCTCACAACTTCAAGTTCAAGAGTTGTATGCTCCACTGATTGAGCCAGCCAAGTGCCCCATTTGGTGTTAATTCCTTAAGCATTTGATAGAATTCACCCGTGAAACTTTCTGATCCTAGGCTTTTCTTTGTAGGAAGGTTTTTTTTTATTATTATTTTTACTATTTCAATCTCTTTACTTGCCATAAGTTTGTTCAGACTTTCTATTCTTGAGTCCATTTTGGTGGATAATGTGTTCTAGGAATTTTCCCATCTCATCCAGGTTGTCTAACTTATTCTCATACAATCGTTCCTAGCATTTTCTTTACAATCCTTTATACTTGTGTAAGATGAGTAGTGATGTACCCACTTTTTTTCCTCATCTGAGTAGTTCAAGTCTTATATTTTTCTTATTCATCATAGCTGCTGAAGATTTGTCAAGTTTGTTGATCTTTTCAAAAATCCAGTTTTGGGGGTGCCTGGGTGGCTCAGTCAGTTAAGCAGACGACTTCGACTTATGTCATGATCTCACGGTTCGTGAGTTCGAGCCCCACATTGGGCTGAGCGACAGCTCAGAGCTTGAGGTCTGCTTCAGATTCTGTGTTTCCATCTCCCTCTGCCCCTTCCTTGCTCACGCTCTGTCTCTCTCTCTCTTTCTTTTTTTTTTTTTAATTTTTTTTTCAACGTTTATTTATTTTTTGGGACAGAGAGAGACAGAGCATGAACGGGGGAGGGGCAGAGAGAGAGGGAGACACAGAATCGGAAACAGGCTCCAGGCTCCGAGCCATCAGCCCAGAGCCTGACGCGGGGCTCGAACTCCCGGACCGCGAGATCGTGACCTGGCTGAAGTCGGACGCTTAACCGACTGCGCCACCCAGGCGCCCCATCTCTCTCTCTTTCAAAAATAAATTAAAAAAAATTTTTAATCCAATTTTGGGGGACACCTGGATGGCTCAGTCAGTTAAGCATCTTGATTTGGGCTCAGGTTGGTAGTTCCCAGCCCCAGGCGGGCTCTGTGCTGAGATTGGGATTCTCTCTCTGTCCCTCTCCCACATGGGTACACATGCACAATTGCACATGCACTCTCTCTCTCTCAAAATAAACATTTTTTTAAAAATCCAATTTTTTTGTTTCATTGATTTTCTGTCTTGTTTTTCTCTTTTTAAAGGGTTTTGTTTACTTTATTTCATTTTTTTTTTATTTGAGAGTGAGAGATAGCACCGGCAGGGGAGAGAAACAGAGGGAGAGAGAGAGAATCCCCAGCCTCAGCAAAGAGCCCAACTTGGGGCTTGATCCCACGACCCTGGGAGCATGGCCTGAGCTGAAATCAAGAGTCCGACACTCTGGGGCGCCTGGGTGGCTCAGTCAGTTAAGTGTCCAACTCTTGATCTCAGCTCAGGCCTTGATCTCAGAGTCATGAGTTCAAGCCCCACATTGGCTTCTGTGCTGGGTGTGGAGCCTACTTTAAAAAACAAAAGAGAGAATGTATTGTTTAATTTCCAGATATTTGTGAACTTTCTAGTTTTCCTTCTGTTATTTTCTTTTTTTAGTTCATTTTTAGTTCATTTTTTCTTTATTTTTGAGGGAAAGAGAGAGGGAGGGAGGAGCAGAGAGAGGGAGAGAGAGAATCCCAAGCAGGCTCCTTGGTGAGGAACCAATGTGGGGCTCAACTTCACGAGCCATGAGATCATGACCTGAGCCGAAATCAAGAATTGAATGCTTAACTGACTGAGCCATCCAGGTGCCTCTCCTATTATTTTCTAATTTCACTCCATTGTGTTCCCAAGAATATACATGATATGACTTCAATCTGTTTAAATTCATGGAGATTTATTTTGTGACCTGACATATGGTCTATCCTGGAGAATATTCCATGTGTGCTTGAGAAGAATGTGTGTTCTGGGGCACGTGGCTGGCTCAGGTGGAAGAGCATGCAACTCTTGATCTCGAGGTCATGAGTTCCAGCCCCACAATGGGCGTAGAGATTACTAAAAAAATAAACTTAAAAAAAACAAAAAGAGTGTGTATTCTGTGGTCGTTGGTGGAGTGTTCTGTATATATATCTGGTAGGTCCATTGGTTTATAGCATCGTTCAAGTCCTCTATTTCCTTGATGATTTTCTGTCCTACTGTTTTATCCATTATTGAAAGTGGGGTATTGAAGTCATCAACTATTATTGACAATTGAATCATGTTTATTTTTTAAGTTATATTAAATCCAGTTTTTTGTTTGTTTGTTTGTTTTTAGGTAAGCTCTATGCCCAACTTGGGGCTCGAATTCACAACCCTAAGATTGTTGCATCCACACGACTCCTGAAACAGAATACTATGGGCACCAATGACAGTCATAACAAAGTTTATTGCAATGAGAGGCAAGGCCAACCGATCAAGACCGACACTCTTGACCCAAGTGCGGTCTCAAACAGCCGGGGTACAGAGTTTTTATAAAGACCACATGGTCTTATCATCATCTGGGAACAGAACAAAGAAATAGTTCCCAGATGGGGGTGGAAACAGTTCAGACATGCCCTGCCCCACTCCAATCAAACACTAATCCAGTTGATTTTCCTTGAACTTTTGTTCCCTTGATTGATAGGCCAAGGCTGTTATCTCTTAGTCTATGGTGTTAAAGCTGTTATTTCTTAAGGCTACAGGTGAGCCCTACACTACAATTTAACCCTTACAAGATCAAGAGTCACATGCTCTACCAACTGAGCCATCAGGGCACCCTTAATCATATTTAACCTTTAGCTTTTAAACTCTTTTTGGAACCTGGGAGGACCCATCACCGCCACCTTCTCCCACACGAGAACTTATGCTCACACCAACTGTCCCAGCAACCATGGTGGTTGTGACAGTACTTTATTAGGTAAAGAAGTGGAATTGTTTTCAACATCTCCCCTAAGGAAAGAAGCTCAAAGGCCTGGGCCAGCCAGGCCCTGCAGGATGGGCTGCTTCTACTTGAACTTCTGCAGCAACTCACAGATCCTCTCCTTGACCATTGGATCCAATGTTGAACTGTCCCACTCGGCCAACCTCATCAGCCGGTCATGGGCCTCCCCAAAGAGGCTAGGGCCAATGGCCAGCTCCACCCTCATGCGCCACTCAGCAATCTTGGAGCTATTGAGGAAGACATCATAGTTGCCTCCCATGGGCTGTAGATACACAAAGAGGAAGAGATGGTCAGCCAGGGGACCAGCCCTACCTACCTCCCCTCCTACAGCCTCAGGGTGTCTCCCTATCTGCCGCTGCAAAGAGTGAGTCTGTGACCCATCCCACTCCCAGGCCTGAGCAAGGGGTCATACGCTATGTGATAGATATGGGGTGGGGGCTGGAAGGTCAGAATCTCCAGGTTCTCCACTGGTCTTGCTCCAAGGTTCCTGAACCCCTCTCTGAGGTGACTCCTGGCCCAGATGACTCCTACTTTTTAGTGTGAAACCTCCCATGGGCCCTGCCTTCTACCAGGGAAATCCCTTATTCTCAGATGAGAGTGAGAAGAATTCACACATTGAATTTCCTCCACATTGAACCTTCCTCTGTGATCAGGCGCAGGGCCTGGAATGGGAGACCCAGCAGGTAGTCTAAGAAACATGCACGCAAAAAGCTTGGGGGCTCCAAAATGGGGTGGGGTGGGTGAAATGTAAGGGGTAGGGCTTGAAATGTAGGGGACTACACCACCTGAGACAGAAGAACTGAAATGTTTTTCTCTGGTGCTGATCTGCCCTGCACACTGACCATGGACTAAAGCGGACATTTTGCATACCGGCCAGAAATTGCGTTGGCCTCTCAAGACATTGGCCGGGGTCTCAACTGGCCACCCTGCATACCAGCTAGGGCAGAACTAGCCACCCTCCCCTGCATGTAGAAACCACATAACTGTCCCACACCCAGGTGGACCCCCAAAAGCAGTGTGGATGCCCCTCCGACCCAGAACCAGGGAGCTTCCTTGTATAGCTAGATGTCTGGTGCTCTAGAAAAGAGGCATTCATCCAGAAGGACACTTTGGAGGCCTCTGGACACTTCCTGGAGGGTCCGGCAGGAGGCGGAGGCATCCAGGATCCTGGCTGACTAACTGAGAAATGTTGTGTTCTTCTCCCTGTCCCAGGCCTGCCTTCCAGCTCCTGCCCACGCTGAAAAAGCATTGTGAAGCATGGATAATCGTGACCCTCCTTGGTTCAAAATCTCCTGTGCTTCCGGTTACCCCTGGGTCAGGTCTAGGCACCTGGCTCCCAGAATCCCTCTCCCTCCAGCAGCCTATATTCACACTATGGCCCGAGTGGTCACAGAGGAGTCCTACCTCTGCCCAGGCTGTGTCCCTACCCCACTGCACACCTGCATCATCTCCACCAGGGCCACCACGTCAGCCAGTGAGATGTGGTCCCCGGCAATGAACATCTTGTCCTGCAGAAACTTCTCCTCAAAGAGCTGCATGCTGTTCTTCACCTCTGCCAGCATCTGCTCCACCTTCTCATCTGGAACCTCCTCACCAGTGATCATTGGGATCAGCATCTGGCCGGGGTGGGGGAGAGGAGGGAAGAGGAGGTTGCACCCTAGTCCCATCTGACCCTCCAATCTTTAGCATCCTTGTCTGCTAGAGAGGTGTTGGACAGAACCAAGGATGTAAAGCAAGTTCACCTCTTTTAGCAGTTCTGGTTGGTAGAAGTTACCTGGGGCCATTGTCCAGAAGGATTTTGAGATCCTAGCAGGATGGAATCCTGTGATTGATTAGTGATGTCTGTCACAGGCATGAGATAAGTAAGGGTACATATACATACATTGGCTAGTCGTCATCTTCAAATCTGGTGGTCTCTCTGGGCCCTTTGACTATGATGTTTTCTAGTTCAGAATGAAATTTCTCGAATCTTATCCAGTCTTGAGTAATATCAGCCCCTCCTGGGTACCCTTCCCCTTGTCTTTATAAGGCTTTTTCATACCCAATGGTTCATTTCACACTCCCATCAGCTCTGTAAGGCAGGCAGGAGAGGGAGCTGAGGAAATGATGCTCAGGAAGGGAGGGAGACTTGCTTGAACTCACTGGTGGTCAGCCCGGCCTTGACCCCACTCACCTTGATCCAGAGGATCCTGCTCATGGGCATCTGAATGGCAGTGTGCTGCCAGGCCATGAACTCATCCACGCGGGCACGTGTGTGCAGGTCTGGTGGGTACCAGTGTGAGGGTGTGCTGTACTTGCGGCACAGGTAGAAAAGGATGGCCACGCTGCAGAAAGGAAAAGTCGGGGGGCACTGCTCTTGCCTTCCTCAACATTGTTACACCCACCACCCCAGCGTGGCCGGGGCTCAGTGTGGGGCTTCCAGCCACAGGCAGGTGCTAGGCACTGACATTCTTCTGTGGGGAGGATGAGCCCAAAGGGTGCCAGGAAAGGCAGTCAGTCCGCCAGTCAGTGAATGCCCGAAGGGAGACCAGCAGGGTGAATGGGATCTGATGGATGGCATGAGGAAGGGCAGTCTAGACCGAAAACAACATGTATGGGAATTCAGGGGTAAGAGGTAGCCACACTCTGTCTCTCTTTGCCTCTCAAAAAATAAACATTTAAATATAAATAAATAAATAAATAAATAAATAAATAAATAAAAGAGGGGTGCATGGGTGCCTCAGTTGGTTGAGTATCTGACTTCAGCCCAGGTCATGATCGCACAGTTCGTGAGTTCAAGCCCCCAGGATCCCAGCTGACAGTGCAAAGTCCACTTCAGAGCCTCTATACACCCCCATCCCTGTCCCTCTCTTGCTTGTGCTATCTCTCAAAAATAAACAAACATTAAAATATATATATTTAAAAAAGGGGGGGGCGTCTGGATGGCTCAGTCAGTTAAGTGTCAGACTTCAGCTCAGGTCATAATCTCACGGTTCGTGAGTTCAAGCCCCATGTCAGGCTCTGTGCTGACAGCTCAGAGCCTGGAGCCTGTTTCAGATTCTGTGTCTCCCTCTCTCTCTGCACCTCCTCCGCTCTCTCTCTCTCTCTCTCTCAAAAATCAATAAAATTTTTAAAAATTAAAAGAAAATAAAAAATAAAAAAATATAGTTGCTAAGAGAGTAGGTGTTAAAAGTTCTTATCATAAGGGAAAAAAATCTACAACTATATGTGATGACAGAGGTCAACTAGAACTTACCATGGTGATCATCAGTTCACAATATATACATAAACTGAATCATTATGTTGTACACCTGAAACTAATATAATGTTGTATGGCAATTGTATCTCAATTTAAAAAAAAAAAAAGAGGGGTGCCTGGGTGGCTCAGTCAGTTGAGCATCTGACTCTTGATTTTGGCTCAGGTCATGATCTCACAGTTTGTGGGTTCAAGCCTTGGGTCGGGCTCTGTGCTGACAGTGCAGATCCTGCTTGGGATTCCCTCTCCCTCTCTCTCTGCCCCTCCTGTGTTCTCTCTCCTCTCTCTCTCTCTCTCTCAAAACAAACTTAAAAAAAAAAAAGAACAAGATCTGGTACTTGGGTGGAGGGGTTCTGAGGACGACAGGGGCCACAGGGATACAGGGAGGGTACAGACTGGAGGCACAATTTGGAGGGAATGGTCTTGCTCTTGGCTGGTGGAGGGCAGGGAGGGAGGAACTCAGAATGGACACATGTGTTTGAGGTGTCTAGAACATCTGGCGTCCCAGAGAGTCCTGAGTCAGAGTCTGATATGACATCAAAGTCCAAGAAGCAGGAGCCTGCCCCCCTTTGCCCCCGCAGCCCACCACAGAGTCAGCAGGTAAAAAGGGAGCAGAGGTGGGAGGGGGGAGAAGGGAAGGAGCAGCCTGAGAGGGAGGCCCCAGAGGTACAAGTGTCTAAGAAGGCGGGAAACATCAAGAAAGGAAATCCTAAATCCTGAATCATCTCAGTTGATCTCACAATAACCCTGTAAGGTGGGTCCCAGTATGCTTACATTTGAGGAAACTGAGGCTCAAAGATAACAAGGAACTGCCCAAAGACACATAGCCTGAGGCTACCAGAACCCGGGAGAGAAGCTTTTCCAGCTCCTTCACAGGGGTTTTGACGTCTAGCCTCTAGGAATGCAATACATTTCTGTTGTTCTAAGTCATTTAGTCAGTGGTAATTTTTTACAACAGCCCTAGGAAAATCATCCAGGACTGGGGCCACCCAAGGTCTATGGTCCACCTGGAAGATACACTTGACAATCATGAGACCGCCTCTGAAGCTGAGAAACAATAAACCCCTGAATCTCACCAAACCTCTACTTTCAATGACCAATTTACAGGAAATGAAGGGACAGAAAAACCATGTTAACATGACACCATGAGAACACGATCAGCAAAACTTAGACTATGGGAAACTCCTCAGGACAAAGGATTCTGTTTCTTCAACCATAACAAAAATGTAAAGGCAGGGGCACCTGTGTGGCTCCGTCGGTTAAGCATCTGCCTTTGGCTCAGGTCATGCTCTCACGGTTTGTGGGTTTGAGCCCCACCCTGGGCTCTCAGTTATCAGCTGTCAGCATGGAGCCTGCTTGGGGTCCTCTGTTGCGCTCTCTCTCTACCCCTCCCCTACTTGTGCTCTCTCTCTCTCTCTCAAAAATAAATAAACATTTTTTAAAAAGTATATTAAAAATGCAAAGGCAAAAGGTGGGGCATGGAGGGAACTATATATAGGCAGACCACAAGCTGCCATACTTGTAGTTTATTTGGAGCTGGATTCAAATGCACAAGCCACAAAGAAAATATTTTGGGGATAATCAGTGACTTTTGAATAGAACAGGGTATTGGTTGAAATCCAGGGATTATTGTTGTTGTTGTTTTAAATTAATTAATTATTTTTTTTTAAAGAGAGAGCGAGCGTGAGCAGGGGACGGGCAGAGAGAGAGAGAGAGAGAGAGAATCCCAAGCAGGATCCAGACTCAGCACAGAGCCGGACACAGGGCTCGATCCCAAAACCCAGGGATCTGAGCAGAAATCAAGAGTCAGATGCTCAATGACTGAGCCACCCAGGCGTCCCCAGGGATTATTGTTAATTTTTTATAAGGTGTCACCGAAGTATTGTGGTGATGCTTTTTTTTTTTTTTTTTTTTTTTAAATGAGCCTTCATCTTTTATCTGGCAGGTAGGGGAATAGAGGGGAATAGAGTGGGTTGGTTACAGGTGATGCAAAATGGGCTCCCCACATGGACCACTGTTGGAATTGTGTGATGGGTATCCTGTGGAGGTCTTCATATCCCTCATTAGTTAGTATTCATTCTACTTTGGTGTATATATAAAATTTTTCACAGTAAATAAAAAATAAGTACTAGTAGGTCGGCTCCACATGAATGTCCCAGGAGGAGCAGAGACAGATGGGAGCAGGGGTGGGCAAGGAAGACTTACCTTTCAGATAAGACAAATTTTCCATCTTTGAGGCTGGGTACCTTCTTCAGGGGGTTGATCTTTATGTATTCCTTGCTGTGGTGGTGACCTGGGAGGGGTAGGAAAGGTCTGAGGGTGCTGGGACTCTAGGAAAGAGAGGCCCAGGTCTCCCAGAGGCACATGCCTTTCTCCCCCTTTTTCTCTAGAAGGAGAAACAAGCCCAGAGGAACACCATCCATGGCTCACTTCAGGTCAAAGGGCAAGTCAGTGGCAGAATCGGGATTAGGATCAAGACTCCTGCCCCCATCCCAGGCTCAGTGACCAGGACAACCCGTTGGCTTACAGAAGTTGGAGGCCTCCAGCTCCCACTCCCAACTCGGCCTGAAGCCATAGCCTGTGAATCAGCAGCAGCCCTAGAAGCCTGGATCCCACCCCCACTCCTTCAGCCCCAGCCCCAGCACACAGCTGGAATCCAAAAGGGAGCCTCTCATATACAACCAATCTATCAGAAGACTTGTTTTGTTGTGGTGGGTTTTGTTTTGTTTTGTTGTTAAATAAGCTCTCCGCTGCACAAGGGCTTGAACTCATGACCAGCCCCAGAGATCAAGAGTCCACAAATTCTAGCAACTGAACCAGCCAGGCACCCTGATCTATTGGGAGTTTTAACTCTTCCTCAACCAGTTGCCTTGGTCAGAAAACATTTCTGGGGCTGGATTCACACCTCATTTCGGAGCACCTGGCCTCCTCCTCTATGTTCTAGAGGCTTCTACCTCTGCAACGTGAGCTTTTAAGAACCTCCTCCATGCTTGGGGTAATGTTGGAGACCAGTGCTCTGCACCTCACCCCGGGCCTGTATCACCCTGAGCAGGTGTGAACGTGGAGGGAGAATTAGTGTGGCCTGAAGAGGTAGTGTTGACTCAGATTTGGATGACCACACACTTCTGCGACCTTTGCCAGCTCATCTGATGTGCTGCAGCTAACAAGATACTGCAAGGAAAAGCCAAGGGCTCTAGATGGGAGACCAGGGGATGCCTGGCACTCTTCCTTCCACTTTATCTTATAAAAGCCTGTTCATAGGGCTCCTGGGTGGCTCGGTCAGTTAAGCGTCCAGCTCTTGGGTTTCAGCTTAGGTCATGATCTCACAGTTTTGTGGGTCCAAGCCCCACATTGGGCTCCATGCTGGCAGTGTAGAGCCTGCTTGGGATTCTTTCTCTCACTCTCTCTCTGCCCCTCCCCCACTCACACTGTCTCTGTCTCTCTCAAAATAAATAAATAAACTTAAAAAAAAAAAAAAAAAAAAAAGAGCCTGTTCATCATAGCAGGGCAGAATTAGTCACAGGGCCGGACAGCCTACGATTCCCTTGGAAAGTCTGGACTTTAAGGTGGGGAGTCGCCTCTGTGTCTCCGCTTCTCAGAGACGCTCTGACCTTGCGTCCTGCCTCCCTGCCAAGGCCAGACCTATGCCGGGCAGCGTGGGGTGCCTACCTTTTAGCAGATCCACAAACTGGAAGTCAAAGGGGATGTTGTTCTTCCTAGCAAAGATGTAGACAGCGCGGCAGGATGCTGACAGCAGGTCCAGATAGAGCTCCAGACCCATGCTGAGACACGTGTCGGGCACCCCCACCAGCCACAGCCAGCAGGCTCTGAACCTGAGCCTATATGCGGCCTGAGCCCCTGGGCCTGGCTCTGTGCCCGTCGGCCCTCTCCAACCCAGGCCTAGGACCCCGCATTCTGGAACTTCTTGTTTCACTTGGTGTTGTCATGAGGCCAGGAAGCCCGGAATTCTCATAGCAGCAAGAATTCTCGGGAGACTCAGGAGTAGACAAGGAAGAGGACCCTGGCTCAGGGGCAGGTGGTGGGGCCACCTGCAACTCTGCCCTTCCCCCTCCCTCTTGGCACATGTGTGTGCCCGTGGCCCATGTCGGAGAAGGACTTACATGCGGGAATTGTGAGGGCCAGAACTTTATTGTAGAATGTGACCCAAGGGCCTCTGCTGGGTCCAGAACGAGGATGGGGCAATAGGAAGTAACCATGGAGGGTTTCAGAAGCAAGGATTGGGGGTATGCATAGGTCAGTCTAGCCTGAACTATGGTTAGAAAAGTGTTGAGAGAAAGACAAACAGGATCCTAGGGAGCAGTCAGGGCACCGGGGACAATGCCACAGGAGTATCTAGGGTCAGCCAGTGAAGCTGTGCCACGGAGAGAATCCCAGAAACTTCCGGTCTGGCTTGGGACTGGCAGTGGCCAGTGGAGTTCAGCAGCTGGCAACTCAGGAAGGTAACTAGAAGCCCACGAGAGGCCTGAGTGCTGCTGCCTCTAGGCTGCATCATCTCGGGAGATCTCTTGTCCCTCCAGATTCTGCTCAGAAGCGGGGAGACCCCACTTGGTAAGGCAGAGGAAGCTGGAGACAAGTAGACGTCACACAGCATGTTTATTGTGGGTGGGAGAGTGCAGGGGAATGGGCTGGGCCACATCCCTCTCAACTGAGCCGCTCCTGCAGCCGATGCACCAGCTCCTGTGCCAGCCGGGGGTCCTGCTGGGCGTCTCTGGGGTCCCGCGGCTGTAGCACAAGCTTGTGCGCATCTTGGACAAGCTCAGGGCCCAGGGCAGCCTCTACTCGGGCTCGCCAGGCTGCCAGCCGGGGCCAGTCTCGGAAGAGGTCGCAGCCAACAGCAGTGGGCTGGGGAGACAGGGTAGCCAGAGCAGGGGACTCAGACCAGTGCCCAGCGTGCCCCCAGAGGGCAAACAGGCAGGAGAAGCTTACCTGCATCAGCTCCGTGAATGCCATCAGATCTGCTAGGGAGACCTGCTCGGTAGCCAGGAAGGGTTTGGCCGCCAGGACCTCCTGATCCAGGTGCTGCAGGGCTGGTTTCAGCTTCCCCAACAGCCGGTCTAGGCGCACGGTGTCCACAGGCTTCCCCGAGAAGTGGGGCAGGAGGGACTGGGCCAGGGGGAATGGAGGCAGCTTATCCTGGGTTCCTCCAAACATCCTCAACCACCTCTCCACCCCTCCCTGGCCACCATCCATTAGTGATACCCCCTGGGGCACTGTATTCAGAAGGATTCTGAGGATTCATTTAGACTCGGGAAAGAATGCCATGATCAATTACAGATGTCTACCTGGGACAGTGGATAGAGGGCTGTATATGTGCCCGTGGGTCCTTTCCAGCACTGGGGGTTCTGACTGCTGCCCAAGCCTGCATAATAGGGCAGGAGGCTCACCTTACACAGGTAGACGTTGGTGGCAGGCAGCTGGATGGCCGTGTGCTGCCACGCCAGGTACTCGTCGACTCGGGCGCGGGCCTGCAGGTCAGGTGGATACCAGTATGGCGCCGTCTGGTACTTGCGGCTCAAGTATAAAAGGATGGCCACACTGCAAACAGGGGGTGTCAGAGAGTCCCCCACCCCTCAGGGCTAGGCAGCTTCATCTCTCACAGACAGGGTGATTTGACTGGATTTCTGTCCAACGCCACCTCCGGGGGAGGCCAACCCCACTCCCACATCCCCACCACGGGCCATCTTTTCTCCACCAAACTGCTCCATTCCTCACGCGCTCCCCGTGGACCCATATTTCCACCTCCCCTCCCCCGACTACTAACCCAGCCAGCCCTCTGCCTCCAGACCCACCTCTCTGGCATCTGGGTCCTACTGAGCAGGAAGGAGGCAGACCTGCCATGGACATCCTGCCCAAGGGATCTCCAAGTTCCCTCCCAGGCCAGTGCTCCCTAGCAGCCAGGGTCCGGGGGAGGGGATCGAGGAGAGCCCCTTTCTTTTTTTCAACGTTTTTTTATTTTTATTTTTGGGACAGAGAGAGACAGAGCATGAACGGGGGAGGGGCAGAGAGAGAGGGAGACACAGAATCGGAAACAGGCTCCAGGCTCCGAGCCATCAGCCCAGAGCCCGACACGGGGCTCGAACTCCCGGACCGCGAGATCGTGACCTGGCTGAAGTCGGACGCTCAACCCACTGCGCCACCCAGGCGCCCCGAGGAGAGCCCCTTTCTTGATCCTCCCTGGGCTCCTGGCACACAATTTCCAAATCAAATAATAAAAATGTAATGGCAACTAGAAAACATTTTATAGAAAAAGGTGGTGCCCAGTTTCCATTCTCAGGCAGGTCCTGGGAGGGGTTATATTACTACTCCATTTTACAGGGGAGAAACATGGGACACGAAGTTCTGTGGCCCCTCCGCGGCCGAGATCGAGGATATGGGGAACTGGGATTCAGAGCCCAATGCAAATCTGGGGCTGCCTAGCTCCTGGCTCCTGTGACTTGAAAGCCAGGTTCGGGACTCCCGGGGAGGGCTAACCTCAAGCTTGGATCTTCCCCAGCAGAGTCCAGGTTGTCCAGGCCTAACAGAGTGACCTTTGCCCAGCCCTCCATGCTGAAGCTACCAACCAGCTTTAGCCCCAAAGCAGCTCCTTGCCCCCAAGCTGGGTGAGCTAAAAGGAGGAAGAGGGGACCACAGCAGTCTGGAAAGATCTCCAAGTGTGGGACCATCAGCTTTCTGCCGTCCTCTCTCCACCTCCCCCAACCTCGAAGCCTCCACAGGCGCCAGGACCCCATTACCTCTCCGCCAACAGGAAGTCTCCATCCCTCAGGGCAGGCACCTTCCCCAGGGGGTTCACCTTCAAGAATTCAGGCTTCAGGTGCTCCCCTGGGGGATGCAGAGGATGGGTGGCTCAGCAAGATCTGGCTCCTGGATGCCACCCCCCATGTGGCCCAGCCTAGCCAAGACTCACCTCGTCCCAGCTCCACAGGCCGAAACTCAAAGGGAATGCCATTCTTCTTGGCGAAAATGTAAATGGCACGGCAGGGGGGAGAGTACAGGTCCAGAAACAGCTCCAGCGGCATGCCTGCCCCGCCCAGTGTCCTCCCCTGCTCAACACTCTAGCCTGCTTCCCGGGAGGTTTGCTTGGCCCCTCCAAAATGGGACCCAAAGTCGTCTGTTCCCCTCCCCCAAGCCTACTTCCTCTGAGCTACTAGCTCGGCGCCCTGGCAAGCCTCCCCACCTCCTGGGCTGTCGGTTGAGTGGAGGCAGGGTGGGCTGTTGAATATTTGTCGCTGGTTTTTCAAAGCAGGGTCCCCAGCCTGGCCCTCCTCCTGCTTCACTGTGTGTTACAAGCCCCTGGACACCCCCAGGTCCTGCCTCTTCCCTCTGGCTGGGCCACTCCCTGATCTTTGCTTCCTGGCAGCCGGGGAGGCTTTCACAACCTTTCTGTCGAAGTAGGAGTCTCCCTGGCAGAGGCGCACTATTGGTCTTTAAGGCCTTTTATGTTTTTCCTCCCACTGCACCTGTGCCTCACACACAGACTCACACAAACTCACACACAGAGTCCCACACACAGAGTCTCTCTCTCTCTTCTCTCTCTCTCTCTCTCTGTCACACACACACACACACACACACACACACGCTCATGCTCATACTCACATGCCCCCAGCCCAGGCCTCTCCTCTCTCCAGTCTGAGTAACTGTCCTGAAATCCTGACGTTGTAAAGGCATCTCTCTCTTGACTGTCCTCCTCCGGTGCCCCCCACCCCCTGGGGCTCAGACCAGCCCCCTGGAGTCTTCCCTTGCTTTACCCACACCTGCTCCCTCCGGCCTCACCAGCTCCCTCACCAGCCCTTCTACTTCCATCCCAGGGCCCGCTGTCCTGGTCCACACAGCACCCGAGGGGATTTCTCAAGTCCAAATCTGACCCCATGCTCCCAAGCGCCCTCAGCCCTGCAGTGCTCCCTCTCCCCACACTCCCCAACCTTGTCCATTTGCCTCTCAGCCTTCCTCTTGGACTGTCCCGTGCACTTCTCTTCTGTCAGAACCCAAGTCTTGAGACACTGAGGGTGAGGTTGTGGGGCAGGGCCTCCATGAACCCAGACAACAGCCATGGGTGGGTTGGGAGCTGAGGCCTGGCATCCACACTGGCCCTGGCCGGTGGGGTGACTCGGGGAGCAGGTAGCAAGCCAGAGTAGCCCCCTGGGAACTGAGCCATGGTCTCCCAGGAAGCTGCCCCCAGCCCCATTCTGGGACCTGAGGAGGTCAGAGCCACTGACCATGCAAGGGAACTCTAATGCCTTCCCCTAAAAGGCAGGACTTTTAGGGACACATTGCACCCCTTACAAACACACATACTCACAGGACATGTGGCTCGGGCAGAGCTGACCCCACCCTTAGTTTTAAGGATAGTTCATGGCCCAGCCCAGCCAGTGAAGACCCTGTATCCCTTGACCACTCTGATTGGATCAGGCAGGGTCCTAGGGCTGTGGCAGGAGTTCCTGGGAAGGAAGGACTGGGAACAGGCCCAAGGCTGACCCCTGCTGAAGTGCATTGTCATTCCCAAGGAGAGGCCGGGAAAGCGACTGTCTGCAGAAGGAACACAGCTGGCTCAGATTCTTCCCCGGTGGAGGAGGACAAGGGCTGGGCAGCCTCCAGGAGCCAGGCTGTCCAGAGCCAGCCATCCTGGAGCCCAGGCAGAAGGGATTGAAGCCAGGCAGGCCCAGCAAAGCCAGCAGCCATCTAGCAAGTCTATAGATGGGAGGCTGGGCTCAGACTTGGCATGTCCAGAGCCATCAGGGAGCCCTGGGTCCAACACCCTGGGACCTGTAACCCAACCCTGCACAGAAAACCCCAACTGGGTTTACCATATCGGATAGGGGGTCACAGTCCTACGGTGAAGGGGAGGAGCAAGAGAAGGGAGGAATAGACAGAGAGTAACCTGGAAGCAAGGTGGGGAGACAGAGATAGGGAGGAGGGCAGCAAGGGACTCTCATTCACTCATTCATTACTCATTTGCTCATTCATTCGCTCATCCAACAAAGAGACTCAGACAAACCAAAAGGCCAAGGATAGGTGACCAGAGAGGAGTCTTTCTTATATCTCCCAGCCTTCTAAGCGGACCTATGATGTAACTCTGGTGGGGCCCCCGGGAGGGATTGACCACCTGCCCCCTGGATCTTCAGGATGGGGCTGTGGCCCTGGCACAACCCTGTACCCAGGAAAGCCTCCATTAACTCCTGCTATGCCACCAGCCATGACCACTCTTCCCAGCACAACACAGCCAAGCCCCACATGGGTCATAGGGCTCACGGACAGGTCAGTGCTGAGGCTTTGAGTCTAGACTCCAAAACAGGAGACAGGGATAGCCATGCCACTGACCCCAAGGGCAGCCACAGGACCTGAGGAAAGCCAGGGAAGGATCCCACCATCTGTCAAACAGAGATTTTGGCCCCCCTGGCCCTCTAGGCAGGGTCAGTGGAGGGAGGCTGCCTGGCTGGTCTGAGCTCATGCCTGCACCAGCAGCTCCTTCAGCACCATAAAGTCAACCAGCGTCACCTGGGAACTTGAGACGAAAGCCCTGCCTCTCAGGAATTTGTCTGTCCCTGTTCCTACCCAGCTTCTCCCTGGGCACTTGCCTACAAACGAGCAGAACCAGCACGAGTCAGGTGAGTGGAGGGTGGCAGCCCCACCCTCCAGCACCTTGGCCTTGCCCACGCCTGTCACACTCCCTCATCACCCCTCTCACCTGGGTCCACACAGGCATGCCCAGGGGGTGTCCTGGACACAGTCGTCATGCCAGCTCGGGCACTCATTCATGCGGGCATGGGCCTACAAGTGAGATGGCATCAGGGGGCTGCTGTCTGGTATTTGCAGGCAGGGTGGGGGCAGTGGCCTTGAGGACCCTGGTACCTAGCCATTCCCACCTCCCTCAAAAACTTGCAGGCCTTTGGCAGAAGTCTCTGCCATTGATAGATACCCCCTTCATCCTGTCCTCCACCCAGCTCTCTCTACCCCACTCCACCATCCAGCGGTCAGGCCATGCCCCCACCCTCCCCCCTGCTGGTTATGTACCTGGGCAATTACAGTTCCTGGGAACTAACGCCCAGTCCTCAGCGTGGCTCAAGAGCCTGTGCTCATCTTGCCACGTTGACCTTGGTCTCCCAGCATATGCCCTTGGCCACACCCGGCTGCTGGAGAGTCAAACACACTCAACCTTCCTGCTTCCAGCATTAGCTCAGGCCCTTCCCTCTGCCGAGACCAATTTGGGATTTAAGGTCACTTCCAGGAGTCTCTTCTGTCTCTCCTCCTGGCAGGCAACCTGGGGATTCTGCTGCCCCTCCGTCCTACGATGGCGCCCAGCATGGCTAGTTCGGTTGTGGCCTCTCTCCCGGACATAGCTGTCACCTACACTGAACTCACAGTGACTGTTTAACTTCATTAACTTTATTGTTCGTTTACTTCTTATACTTTATTGCAGTGTCTGTTGAAAGAGAAACCATCCAATTGTTTGAACAACAAAGTAGCTGGTTTGGATCTAGAAGGCACAGGCTGCCTCCACCCCCAACCCCCTGGGGAAAGATGGAAAAGGCCCAGGAAAGCAAACAAGTATGAAGGATCTCTGAAAGGGAGGCCATCAGAACAGGATCTGAGGGGGAAGACAATCCCGGGGCCCCCAGGGCAGGACAGATGTAACATGGGAGCCTGGACTCAGGCTGGAAATGACACAGGCTGGACCAAGCAGGGGCACCAAGGCCCAGAGAAAGGGGCTCAGAGCCCTAGGTTAAGGACCCCATTTATTGGTTGGCACTGACATCTACTGTCACATCTAAGAACTGCAGCCACATGAGCCACGTGGCCTCCCGCTGTAGCAGGGGGAAAGGGGGTGCCTGGGAGACTGGATCCTGGCTCTCTCATAAGAAAACTATTCACTCACTGAAAAACAAATATTGTCAAATGGAACTGTAAGAAACTTGAAAGTGTTGTGTACTTTGACAAGGTCTGTTTCTGTGACATAAGTGCAATTTCCCAGAAGTTTTGTGTTCAGGCACATGGTTGGTGGTGAGAAGTCCTTGATTACAAAACAGGGTGTTGGCTTTCAGTGATTTTTTTTTTTAATTTTTTGTTTAATGTTTATTTTTGAGACAGAGAGAGACGGAGCATGAACGGGGGAGGGTCAGAGAGAGAGGGAGACACAGAATCTGAAGCAGGCTCCAGGCTCTGGGCTGTCAGCACAGAGCCTGACCCGGGGCTCGAACCCACAAACTGTGAGATCATGACCTGAGCCGAAGTCGGATGCTTAACCGACTGAGCCACCCAGGCACCCCTGCTTTCAGTGATTAAAGACGCTGTGTTCTTTCCTTCTTGAGACACCGCTAAGATGCTAGTGAAACCATTCACCAAGGGTTAACCAAGAGTTAACAAGGCAGGTAGTGCAGCTCAAATCTTTCCCCCAAATCTGCTTCTCTGCCACCTTGTTTCGGTAAGATAATATTCATGCTCGATGCCATGATAGCCAACTGTGAATTCTGTTGTTTGGCAGGAGATCAAGTTTTCATAAAGAAACCAGCCAGGGTGGGTGGCTCAGTGGGTTAAGTGTCCGACTTTGGCTCAGGTCATGATATTGTGGTTCATGAGTTCCAGCACCTCATCAGGCTCTGT